AGCTCCTAAAAATAAAATTATATTTCATCATGCAATTTTAGTTTTTCTTAGAGCTTTGTATTAGTAGTATACAATAAAAACCAACAAGAGCCTATAGCTCAGTGGTAGAGCAATTGACTGCAGATCAATAGGTCACCGGTTCGAATCCGGTTGGGCTCTTTTGTTTTTACGGGTTAACAAAGATTTTCAACAGAGTCATAGGTAATTTATTCCGTAGAAGTCAACAAAAGTTTACGATTTACGATTTAATTGGAAAATTCACCGAGGCGAATACAAAGTTGATGATTTTTTTTAACACTTTTGCACAATTGAGGATTTTTTCCAACATTTTCCCCAATTTCAATTGTACATAAAGAGAGATTTAAAAGAGAGAGAAGAAGAATCAAAAGCATTGGGTTTTCTCAAACTTGTATCCAACTACAAGCAGGAACTTTCTTAATTCTTGATACATTATTAGCCTCTCCTAATCTCTGATCTTGACCATAATGAGAAGGATTTAGTGGCTCAAGCTTAACAAGCTGACACAATGCAGCATTACTTAACCACAAATTACAATGCATTCTTGAAGAATTTAATAAAGCTCCCCATACTCCTACACTTGCTTTCACTCTCATTCTTCTCACCATTTCCACAGCTTCATCAAACAAACCAGACTTCCCTAATAGATCTACCATACACGCGTAATGTTCAACTTTCGCTTCGATCTTGTGTCTCTCTTCCATTTCCTTGAAAATTCGTTTTCCTTCTTCGGCTAATCCTGCGTGTCTACAAGCTGAAAGAACACTCAGAAAGGAAACAGAATCTGGTTTGAGTTCGTTTTCTTGCATAGACAAGAAGAGTGAGACTGCACAGTTTGCTAGGCCGTGGGCTGCGTAAGCTGATAGCATAGTGTTCCATGAAACCATGTTTTTGTTTCTTATCTCGATAAAGCATTTCTTGGAAGATTCTATCATTCCACATTTGGCATACATGTCTACAAGGCTGTTTCCTACTGGTGTGTGGGAACAAAATCCAAACTGGATGAGACTGGAATGAACCGACATTCCTAGGCTCAAGGCTGCTAATTCTGCTGCTGCGCGTACGATGTTAACAAAAGTGACTGCATTTGGCTGAAATTTCTCAACCTTCATCTGACGAAAAGTGGCAATAGCTTCTTCAGCCTGGCCATGGAGTAAGTACCCATTCATCATTATATTCCAAGATACAGTACTTTTCTCGAATCCACACTTGTCAAACAAGGATTTTGCTGCAGCAAGGGCATCACATTTGGTGAACATATCAATAAGAGCATGTGCCACGTGACATTCTGAATCGAACCCATGCTTTATAATTTGCCCATAAACACAAGAACCTCGAGCATAGTCACTACAGAGTGCACAAGTTTGAAGCATACCAACCATAGTCCCTGAGTCTGGGCATACGCCATGTAACTTCATGTTCTTGTACACATCAAATGCTTTACTGGCATCACCAATCTGAGTATACCCTTGTGCTAGAGCGTTGAATGCTATGGCATCTTTAATTGGCAGTCTTTCAAAAGCTTTGAGCGTGGGAGAAAAGAGACCACATTTAGCATACATTGAAATAACAGCTGTGGCAGTTTCCAACTCAGACTCAACATCAGCCTTTATAGCATAACAATGTATGCTCTTACCCAATCTAGAGGCGGCTACTCCTGCACACCCTTGTAGCACACTTGTCAAAGTTACAGCATTAGGCTTGAAATGTGTTCTCATCATATCTCTAAACAAGGAAAGAGCCTCATCGTGTTGCCCTGCTTGCTCAAACGACGCAATCATGGCAGACCAAGAAACAACATCTCTATCTTTAATTTTAATAAACAGTTGTTCCGCTAACTCCAACTCACCACATTTGGAATACATATTTATAAGAGAAGTTGCAACCGAAATATCACTCATCATTCCCTGTTGCACTGTGTATTCATGAATTGCAATCCCCTTCTCTAAGTTCCCTACATATGCAGCAGCTTGAAGAGCACTTGCTGCAGCTACCTTATTCATTCTAACATCATAATTTCTCATGACGTCAAATAACTCCAATACCTCCTCGAAGGACCCGTTATGTGCATAAGCTGCCATCATTGTGCCCCATGAAGACTCATCCTTGCTAAACACTTCTTCAAAAACGCATTCAGCAGCATATAAATCTGCGCATTTGCAATACATGTCAATCAACCCACTAGAGAAAGCAGAGGTAAAACCTTTCTTAATCACAAGTCCGTGAAGGCATCTGCACACATCATTCTTCTCTAGCTTTGAAACCGCAGGGATCAGATTGTAGAGACTAACATGATCAATGTCAACAAAACTCGAATGCATATCACGAAACAACCGCAAAGCTTCACTTGAACATCCATTTTGAGCCAACCCGGAAACCATAGTGTTCCAAGTAACAATATCCTTGACAGGCATTTTATCGAACACTTGTCTTGCAGAAACCAAGTCACCAGCTTTACAATACATTTCAACTAAAGCAGTTCCTATATAAACATCAGACTCAAAACCCATCTCAGCAATCAAATCATGTATCCGTAAACCCTCCTCAAAGTCCATAGATCCGGCACAAGCCTTCAAAGCAAAAGTGAAAGTGTACTTGTCTGGATCAATACCTTTCGCCTCTGACATGTACCCGAAGACTTCGAGAGCTTCTTTGTGCAAACCGGCTCTCGTGTATCCTCTGATCATGGAATTCCATAAGACAACACCTGGGTATGGAACTGAATCAACGATTTTGCGAGAAAGGTCTGGTCTTTGAAAGAGAGAATAAGCGTTTATTAGCTGGTTATGAGGTTTAAGACCTGCGACGATCAAGCTGCCGTGAATTTGTAGAAGTAACCGGAAGTTCTTACATTCCCGGAGCATACGGAGGAGGGTAGTGCAAGTATTTGGCATTTCACTGTCGACGAGGATACAAGTGCAGGTTTTTTTGGCGGTTTATAGGTAAAATCGTTACATTTTGAAAGCTTTAAAGTTTTCTGATTATATAAAATTATAAATTTGAGCCACAATGATATTCAGAAAACGAGTTATCTACTGATTGTTTTAGCCTGAGATGGAAGTTTAAGAATTTCTTAGCTTTGATTTGAATATTGCAATGGACGGTGCAGATTAGTACTGATTTTATATGAAGAACCAAACTTGATCCGCAACGGATTATTGTCCGCCCTAAATTAATGCGATTTAGTTCATAAGCGGAACAATCAGTCCCATCCGCTGCAGCTGTTTAAAGTTTAAACCCTAAGAGATTTGGACTTCAAAGATGTAAAACTCAGAGTAGAGAGAGCATAGTCATTGGCATGTTTGAGAGAGTCATTACTAAAACCAAAAAAATCTATTTCATTTCATCATTTCTAATCCGGTAAGATTTTTATTACATCTATTGAAAGAAAGACCAACATGTTTTCTATCGCCTTAGCTCTCCTTTTGCTTGATCAGAAATTCAGAGACATCAAACTATATCATCTTTGCAGCAAACCCGCGTGGACTGGGTTTTTTTCCCAAGAGGAGACGCTCTATGTATGTTGTGTTGTCTATGTGTCTCATACTTGATGGATCTTCCACATGCCAGTTCTGTATCCCACAGACATTAAAGCAAGCTCCCAAAGCATGTTTGGAATGCTCAACATACTGACTTTAGACCCGGGGATTTCAGACCATTTCACAGAGATCTCAACCATTGGAATATTAAAACGCTTGCACAAGTACACCAATTCAACATCAAAGCACCACCTGCGCATAGACCAAGTCAAATGCGACTCTTATTGATGTTTTAACTGCTAGTTTATCATCATCGTTTCATTTACTCATATATACCTTTTCAGATGGACGTTTGTGAAAAGTCTCCTAGCAGCAGCTCTAGTAAACATCTTGAAGCCACACTGATAGAAAAATGATTTTTAGTTATTACTATTCAAGATTATGTCTTGGTGAAACAGAGAGATCAGAAGGAAACAACAAATGAGATTTAAAAAGCCACCTGTGTATCTCGAATACCAGGACCAGCAGCCAATAGAACCACAAGATGGAAGCCCTTCATCAGAAAGTTGCGATACCATTTCCTCTGAAATTGAAAGACTAAAGTCAATTATCTAAGACGCGTATTATGTATATGCATCCATGTGTGTACATAGACAGAATGATGCTGTCTAGAACAGACGATTGCAAAACTTAACTGTAGCAAGAGCTTTCTCCTCGAGATGAGCACGAGAACCAAATGCGGATACTTGAACATCACCTATTCTAAAATCCATATCCTTAGATGCTGGATTTCTGATTGAATATTCTTCTCTGGCTACTGCGTTGATCTGAGAGGCTAGGAGATCAGGAAAATTTATAGCACAATTTCTAGTTTGTCTGAAATTCTAATAGCCAAAACTAAGGGCAGACCTGATTTTCAAGTTTTTCTAGGTCGGTTACTTTAGTTGCTCCATCAGCATCCAACATGAGAAGTAGCTGACCCCGCGAATGCAACATTCCCTATTTAATGCTTTCAAAAAAGTAGAAAGCTTCGATTAATTTTTTTCTCGAATGAAATGACAAGTATACGGTCTTACTCAAGTCACACAGAATAAATATATATAGTTGCATGCGCTACGAGTTGAACTCACTTTTCTTATAGCTTCCCCTTTGCCTTGATTCTTCCCAAGGGGTATAACCCTTATGTTGTCAACTGTGTGCTTTCTAACAAAATCAAAAGCTACTCTTTTTGTTCCATCAACACTTCCATCATCAACAATCACCACCTAGAAGGAAAAAAAGTAAACTTACTCCACTGATGCATATAGGGTTTAAGTAACACAATAAAGATTATTGAGCAATTTAGCATGAGTGGGTAGTCTATACTGATAGACTAATAAGTTGTGTTTATTACTCTCACTTTTTTTATAGAGTTAGGTGAATTAAATATATAGGGACAAAAAACGTTTAAAAGCTCATACATATTCACCATAACAAAGGCCATATCTATGTTAAGAATCAACCTTGATCAGTTGTAAGTAGAAAAAAACAGAAGAATGGAAAACTATTTACCTCAAAAGAAAAACTCGTGTCCCGTGATGCACGATCTTGAAGGTAACTGCAAACCACAGGCGAATTACAATTATGCCTCTGTAGTATGCATAAATAAGACTTGTGCTGCTGTTTCGCAAGAGAAGCAAACTTCTCACGATTGGAAGCAGATACAAAATCCTTTTATAGGAATGGCAGATTTGAAGAAGTGGAAGTTGTTTAACTTACTCCATTGTTTCCTCAAGAGCTGCAGGAAGTCTTAGTTCTTCATTATACGCTGGAACTATTAATGACAAATACTTCTCGGCAGGGTCAGTGATATGAGGGCAAGGAATCTGATGATAAAGTTTGAAAAACAGTGTCAGTAAAAACAAAATCGGATTCCTCAATCTCATAGAAAAAGGCCACCAGCAAAATGTGATCAAGTGAGTCAAATTCTAATATCCAAAACTCAGCATGGCTATCTTTAAATCGCCAACGCAAAACTTTTCTACGAGAAAATCTCAGTTCCACTAAGTATAATTTAACTGATTTTCAAATGCTATCGTTCTTTGCCACACTAAACCAGATTATCACAGTAAACTAATACGATAAAATCAATCAGAAACGAAAATGAATCAGACGATACCGGTTTTATAGATTTCGGATCCTCCAGTGTAGTCACCGTCTCGACAGAGCTGAGAAAATCCAAAACAAATTAATCAAATCTTATTCCCAGAATCAGAGGCCAAGATAGAGAAAATCGAAGAAATGGAGTAAAACGTACACGTTACTGTTTCTCCTTCTCCAAGCTTCAAAAACGACGACGGAGAGAAATCCGAAGAAGACGATCAGCAGCAGCAAGAGGCCGAATTCCGCAACTGTTACCAAAAACTCCATTGTTGCTCCCCAGATTTGAGATCTGTTTTGGTTTCACAAGAAAGAGAGAGAGTGAAGAAGACAATCCGTGAAGAATAAGCAAGAAAAGTTTAATGATTGATCCGTGAAGATGGTTCGATCCCTAATTTCAGAATAAAGTGCAGCAGATTTTGCAGAGCTCAAATTGAGATAAGCAATTTCGGTTTGACTTTTTGGTTCGGTTCGTTCGGTTCTGCTTTAAGCAGTGTCTTATATGTTGAACAAACCGGATACTAAACCGAGAATGGGTCCGTGTTGCGGTTTGACTTTCTTGCATTACCTAAAATTATTCTTAAAAGTAGCCAAAAAAAATAAAAGTTTTATTGATTAATAACTTTCACAATACCGAAAAAAAAATGTCGAAAAAAAGTATATTAAAGAATAAAACTGAATAATACTATTTGGATATGGCAAGTTATATGAATTACTAGAAAATGATCAATAGATGGAAATGACAAAGTATAATTTGGATAATTATACCAGACTGTATGTATATAATTTTTTATTTTCATGTATACGTCTATAATGAAAATAAGATACAACTAAGTACATAAAAACAAAGTTCTTATAATGAAATAAAATGATCTTGTTTTATTGATTTTTTCAGTTTGATCAGTAGTCGTTACTTTTAGAAAAATTCAGGGCGTTACTGATGCTGGTGCCTCCACCGCCTCGTACGACGCATGTGCTAGTGCTTGGGTTGGTAATCAAAGATTATAGACCTATACAAATGTGCTAGTGCTGGTGCCTCCACAGTTTAGGTTTACAATCAAAAATTCAGGGCGTTACTGATGCTGGTGCCCCACCGCCTCGTACGACGCATGTGCTAGTGCTTGGGTTGGTATTAGTGACAATGCCACTACCCTTGAAATCACAAGCCTCTCTGGAGTATCCTTTGCTTTGGTAATAAGCGTTCATAATGAACGTAGATCGAGTCTTAATGTTGTTGTTATCAAAACATAGGCCACCAGGTGAGATTGGTTTACAATCTATACCTTGGCTGCACACCCAATCAATATTCGCTTGTAGTTGTGTCTCTGTCGCTTCTTGTTTCGCCATACACCAATTTCCACTTTTGCTTTCTGTGCCGCCACCGCCTTCCCCTATTGGTATAGGGCATGTGCTAGTGCTTGGGTTGGTAGTGGTGACCATGCCACTACCGCTAAAATTACAAGCATCATCAGAACATCCCTTGCTTTGATAATAAGCGTTCATAATGAACGAGGAGCGAGTCGTCATGTTGTTGTTGTCAAAACATATTCCACCAAGTGAGATTGGTGTACAATCAATACCATGGCTGCACACCCAATCAATATTTGCTTGTAGTTGCATGTATGTCGCTTCTTGTTTTGCCACACACCATTTTCCATTGTTTATCGGTGGAAGCGGGCTTATACCGCCTTTTAGGACCCCAACATCATACATCGGCGAAAAATCCGGTTTAAATATCCCCCAATTTCTCTCACGGGTTGGACCGGGTTTCCCATCTTCATTGAACAATGCAAATATGAAGATATCGATGTGGCGGTTGGGCATAAGAGGTGTCCCTATAACCTCTGCACGCTTGATGATATTGAGGTTGTAGTTTTCAGCGTTTTGAGGTGAGCACCATGGAGCATCACAAGCGGTAGGCCAACCGGTCTCCCCTACAGCGATATCTAGGTCGCCGTAGCCAAGAGCATTCATAGCAGAGTAAGTTGCATCCATGACTGCGTCAAACATGTTGTTGTAGGTCTGTCGTGTATTGGTATCCGTTACTGAATTTGATGGACCAAATATTGCGTAACTGACATTGTTCGGGTCCATCGTGAAAAAAGTGTAGGCGTTGATCATGAATGGGGACTTAGCCTGACGATGAAACTCCAAGATCTTTGTAAAAAAATCTTTTTGATCGTCAGTAAATCTGCTTTCGCTTGGTGTATTATGGTTAAAGCTTATGGTAAATGCATGTGGAGTTGTTACCTGTAACCAAATAATGGTGGACTTACATTTTGTTGATAATAATAATTAACAAATAACAATGACATTCAAAAAATATTTATAACGAATGATTCATATATTGCCAAAAAAAGACATGACATTCATTTAAATAACTTGTATTAGTGTTGTCGTTGTTAATCACAGGAATAAAAAAATCGCTTAATGCAGGTTGTTTTTTTTTGTTTTTTTATCATTATGAGTTTATGACTTGAAACTAACCTTAATATAAGTGAGATTGGAAGCTTTTAAAGCTTCGTTAAGACTTTGCATCGCTGGCACAAGATTTGATATCAAGTTGTTGTCGTTACTAGAAAGAATCTCGTTTCCGACACAAAGGTATTTGAACTTGATCTGCTGATGAAACGGTAAGACATTGGCAGCGACCCATTGACGAGCATTTGCAACGTTGACCATCGCAGGAATGTTACCGTTAGGGACCATAATGGTGACGTTGATTTCAGAGCCAGCGAAGGATCGGAGGATGTCGGGATTCGCATCATAGATCTTGACACTTGCAAAAGTGGTATTTTTCTTGATGAAGTCAACCACTTGTTGCGGAGGTTGAAGGTTCCCTAATGTTCCATAGTTGATACCAATGGCGGAAGTCACGGCTGAGAGTTGAAAGATCACGCCGGCGACAATGAGGAGGAAAGGGAGAGTGAAAAACCGTGTCGTTTTGGCCATTTCTTTGTTTTGTATAGTAAGACTAGGCTAAGAATATTTGTGTATTTATTATACTAATGTTGATTCTCCATGTCTCTACAATTTTTCTTTAAAAATCTAGTGAAATTAATTGTTTATGTTATTTAGAAGTTGGATGTAGATGATAAGCATGAATGTGGCATTAAATTTGATGTAATATACTAATATAGAAGAACCGGCCGGCAACAAATGGTACAAAATTTTATTAAGTTTACATTACTAAAAGAGGAAGATCATATACTAAATTAAGATAAAATAGAATTTAAAATGTGAAGATCATATACTTAATTAAGAATAAAATGGAATTTAATGGGAAGATCTTATACTTAATTAAGAATAAAATGGAATATAATTTTGGATAATATGTATCATATGCATCAAATACATTTATTATTGGTTCATGCCTTCATGGATTTATTGAAAGAAAGAAAGAAATATATCATTGGCTTTTTATTTATGGATGAATACAAAATTGTGGGTGATTGGATATGACCGTAGGTCGTAGAATTTAGAAGGTAGTTCTATAACTTGTTTATGTGACTTAACAAGATACGGACCATTAGTCCGATAGTTAGTCCATCGACCTCAATTAACTAATTGCATTTCTGGCTTAACTGAGCAATATTGATATGAAATGAGAAGTCATAACATACGTATACCACATTGGTATGAATATTATAAGAAACATTGACCATAACAGTGATAAGTTAATCATAATTTACTAGTAAATTTAACACACAATAACAGGGCAAAAAAACCCGAAACAGAAACATGCTTATTGTAACCATCTCTCCCAATGGCGAATCATACAACTGACGTATTACTTTCGTATATTACCTTCTTCGTATAAAGCATTACTTTCGTATATTACCTTCTTCGTATAAAGCCTAACCTTGGCTATTATTGTAACCCCAAATGAATCCATACAAAAAAAGACTCAGCAGAGCAAAATTCTTTGGCCTCTTGATGCCCCCAAAAAAACATCTGTACAATCTCTTTAAGGAGCAAGAGCCCCTTGAATTCTCATTATCTCGGATTTGTTCCTGCGGCTAAAACCGCTGCTCTTCTTCATGAATCTCTCTGACTCTTGTTCGACCTGGAGAGCAAACTGAAGCCTCTTTAAATTCTCAGCACACTGTCCATGTAGTCCAGGTGAGAACATTCCAGGACCTTGATGATCGATCGGACCGAGATGCCTTTTGTGAGGTGAATGCCATTTGGATCGCAGGTAGTTCAGAGATCTCCAAGGAGGTAACGGCATTGAATTCTGCTTTAAGGAGAATTTGGCTGCATCGACCATTACTTGGAGGAACTGGTTTAATCTTGCCACGGTTCCTACATAAACCACAGGGAGTGATTCCATTATCCGTTGGTAAGAATCCACAGCTCGAGCGATTTCAAAATGACTTCTGAAATCAATGTCAACAATCAAACGATCATCTTGGCCAACTTCAGTATCACTCAATATGATATCTATATACTCATTGTCTCCTGCAAAACATATCAATCTCTCAGACTTCTATATGCAAAAAAAACACATGTATAAGGCGGAACTTAGACGCGAAAACATACCACCAGGAACTTTGCCACCGCCTTGCCATCTTGCTGAACAAACAGCTGCATCATATCCAGAAAGTCTCAAAAGCTTTGCAAGATAAAACCTAATGCAACTGGCGTTACATGTACCGGATTTCACAGAGTGAAGATCTTTCTCCTTAATAGTCAGCATCAATGTACGAACCGCCGAGAGAACCTCAGTCTCGTGTTGAGCCACAGAGTACTTGAGATACTGCAGATACAAACAGATCCTCTAATTCAATACACAAACCACAAATAGCAACTCTAAAGAAATGCTACCATTCTATCTCACAAATTATCCCCAATTATACAAACACCGTTGAATTGAAGCAAATAAGATAATCAAAATGGTGCGATGTTGGTACCTGAATCTTATCGGAAAGGTAAGAAGGATCTGGGAATCCAGAATCGCTATCGCTGCTACACCAGGAACCAGCACCACCGCTACCACCGCCTCCCGTTTCCAGAAAATCTGTAACCATTAGCCCTAGGTCACGTTCACCGTCATGACTCGAATGTCTCCCTCGATTCAACCATTCCTCCGCCGGAACAACCCTCAAGTCCATCCCCATCGTTCCCAAATCTCGGTCGATTGTTTCAAATTTCAACACCAAAATCGAACCCAGAGCTAATGCGAAATTCAAAACACAGAGAATAAAATTGAATTGAGTCCGTAACAATAAAAACGCGTATCGTCCTCTTTCACGAGTCTTGTGTGATTAATTGATTTATTATATACCGATGAGAGAGAGAGCTTGAAGGTTCTTTTAGCGAATGAGAAAAATCCAGGAAGATAGGCGAAAAGGAAGATGAAGCGAAGATGAGGTTAATATAATACTCATGTTAAATGACAAAAATGCCTTTATTTGATTTATGATAATTACCATTTGAGCTTTTTTAAAAAAAGCTGTAACGAACCGAAAATTAAAAAAACAGAATAATGAACCAAGACAGAGTATATGCTAATATTCATTTTACCAAAAGAAACTAACAAATAGTTTTAACTTTATCTAACAAAAGGGTAAAACGGATAATTTGTTTGGGATGAGGTGTAGCGTAGCGGACAATCGAGAAATTAAAAGTTTGGCTTGGGGACGAAGTTAAAGGCGGCTTTTAACGTTTAAAATTAGCTGACTCGGATGATATTTCTTATATTTAATGTCAAAAATAACTGACTTTATTCATTTATAGATAAAAATTTACGTATTGATTCGAAAATTCAAAACATAAAAGGTCTCATTGGTAATCAAAAGCTGTACAAGTTTTTAGCTATTAGCTGGAGCTGTAAGATTTATCGGAATAGTGCAAAGCTGTATAAAAGAGCTGTACGAAAAAGCTGTACAAAAAAGCTGAGAGTAAAACTATTAGTAACGCTTTTGATAAAGTTTTTGTGATTGGTAAAAATAAAAACTGTACAACTTGTAATATTTTATTTTTGTTCACCAATCAAACCCAAAGTTTTCAAGTGGTCATAAACTGTTGATTGATTCAATGGATAACTACATAAATTACAGGTTTATTACTGGTCTTTGAAAACATTTTTTAATCGCATAAAATGATTTTTTTGTGTTAATGATAATTCTTTTATACCAAGTCCATTGTTTATTTATTAACCAGATGTGGTGGGATAGTGGTTCTAGTCTGGTGGAAGAGTGGTTCTGTTGGTCTAAGTCAGGGATCGATTTTCCCCAGACGCAGAATTGCTCAGTTTTATCCATTTGGCCACATGGATATGGACCCAGGGCCGGCTCAAAAAAATTAAGAACCCTGAGCTGAAAAAAACAATTGGCCCTAATTTTTTATGTATATATATATATATATATATATAAAAAAATTTGGACCTTAATTTTAATAAATTTAGTTGAAAAAAAAGACAAAATTTTTTTGGACCCTGTGCAGGAGCACTCCCCGCACATGGGGAGAGCCGGCACTGTATGGACCCATTGTTTACGGCCCATTTGAAAACCTGGGGGAAACCCTATCTCTGGGATTAGTTTTAGACCCCTCCATAGTCTTGGAATTTACCCTGAGTTATCAAAAAAAAAAATCCATTGTTTATTTATCTTGGTCTCTACATTCATTTCGATTTGGATTTATCTTTTTACAATTTACACTAATATTTTTTGGATCTGTGTTATCACTTGCTTTGATTTTCTTTACACTTCGTATTGCTTTACAAATTAAAAAAAAAATTTAGATGAAAAAAAAAAAACCTCTTTTCAAAAAATTGAGAAACGAAAAAAAAATGAGCAATGTGAAAAACAAAGTGTAATAGGCTTCACTTTCATTGTTAGTGGGCTTTTAGGCCTGTAGGTAATTACATAATCACTATCCAAACCGAATTGTCAAATACCTCACATGTCTCACAATCCAACTTTGGGCCACACGGCAAAATATATACATATTGTCAAGTAAAGATTTAAACCTAGCTATGTGCTCATAATTTACTTTACTTTTCCATAAAATTTGGAAAAGTTATCTGTAACATCCGATTCAACTAGAGACATTAATATATGCTTTGAATTTGTATAGATACTTGGAAGATCGAATATAGATACAGACACATGATACTACATAGGTACAAATACGTGTATGGATCATCAAAATTTATTTGAAATTATCTGTTTCAACTGTTGCAACAATCGAGTAGTCAATTTTATTTTTGTAACCATTAAACAAACAATTATGAAATATCGATGTGTTTTTCTAATCTGAAACGACATCTCAACCATAGAAAGCAAATAGTGTAGGTGACTTTTGTAGCCACATTATAACCGGAACAAAAGGTGAATTTTAATTTTTAGCTGTGTGGAAGACACGGCAAGTCCAAGTAGTACCTCCGTACGTCAATATTGTCCAACCGGCCGTGTCGAAAATATTTAGAGGAAAATCTTCTTAAGGCAATTTGGATTTTCATCTACAAAAAGTCCAAGTTATACCAAACAAAAACAGCGACTTGTAAAACAATACGCGACTCATAATCACAAACCTACCACCCAAGTCAAACCTATATTCCATTTAATGAATTCGTGATTATGACTTTTTTAATCATTTGAATTTATTACGTGATTAGAGACTAGAGAGAGCTTACGTCAATCTTTTGTTTATGTAAAAAACTTTGCATATCTAGAATAACGAGTTCCGTACGACAAGAAAAAAATAAACGTACATGACATCTCGATTTTCATTGGTGTCTACTGTCTAGTGATTTGATTTTCGAAATTCTACTGGTTTAATTATTAAAAATCCATGGTACAAACATTAATATAGACCTACCCACATAATACGTAATTTTCAACTTACAAACACAAACCACTTAACGTCGAGAGACCAAATAAAATATATTTTTACGACAAAAAAAAAAAAAAACGTCCATGTTTCGCTGTTGGTTTGTCGTCCCGTTAATGGTAAGGTAATCTTTCAGACACAGACAGTAACAAAACAGCACCAAAACAAGTAATTTGACTAAAATTTCTCCTTTTCCAAATTTCTGAAAAAAAACCTTTAAAAGGATATTGCCAAAAGATCTTAAAAAATGGCTCATATCATTTTGATCAAATGTTCTAAAAATCCCCGCCTAGACCCGATTACTCCCCGCTTAATCGCTAGGCCCACCCTGTCCGCCTCGATTAATGACTAATCCCTTAAAGAAATCAGTCACCCGATTACTTTCCGCCTAATCCGATTATTCCCCGCCTAATCCGATTATTCCCCGCCTAATCTTACATACCCCGATTATTTTTAGATTGCCAGTATAAAAAAACTTTTTATTTTTGTTATTCAATCATTTGAATTGGGAGTTTGTAATGTTTTACAATAATTTATATTCATATTTTAATAAAAATCATAAATATTTGTCTCAAAAATACATTTTTATGTGTTTACTGCAATTTTAAAAATAATATTGGATTAATATGTTTTCAAAATATTAAAATAACCCTAAAACTAATCCCCGATTAATCCCCGATTTTAATCTGATTTTCCGATTAATCGCTAGGCCCATGCCGAGCGCCCGACTAGCGCCTAGCGATTTTTCAAACAAGGTTTTGATCAAATAGAATCCAACGACCTTTATCTTTTCGCCGAACTAAACTTTTTTATTTGTGTCCAATTGTTTGACTTTCTTTCACACTACATCCACAAAGAAAAAAAAAGACCATTCTTCTTCTTCTTCTTCTTCTTCTGGTCACCCCTCGTGCCTCTCATTAACACCAAACCCAAAACACTTCCTTCTCTTTCTTCTTTCCGCTCTGATCTCTGTTCACATCTCTCATCTTTATCTCCTTTTTTTTTTTTTGCCTTGTGGGTCCAAAGTTTCTATATTTCCTCTTTCTGTTCTGTTTACATAATCCATATTCAGCTCAAGCAGCTGAAGAAGAACGATCAAGAACCAAATATAAGAAAACGAATCTGTTCTTAGCTGATGGGTTCCTGCTTCAGTTCTCGAGTCAAAGCCGACATCTTCCACAATGGTACCATCTCTTTGCTCCTTCTTATTTCCGTTTTTTTCAAGAAAATCTGGAATTATGCATCTCTCTGTTTTAATTCATGGGTTTGAGTCGTTTGACAAAAAAGAAGTAAATTTCGGATTTTGATTATGCTCCAATTTTGAAAATGGTCAACATATGTGTGTGTGTAGGTAAGAGCAGCGATCTTTACGGTCTAAGTCTCTCGAGTCGGAAATCGTCGTCAACTGTAGCGGCGGCTCAGAAGACGGAAGGGGAGATATTGAGTTCGACCCCCGTCAAAAGTTTCACCTTTAACGAACTCAAACTTGCCACAAGAAACTTCAGACCAGATAGTGTGATCGGAGAAGGTGGCTTTGGTTGTGTCTTTAAAGGCTGGTTAGATGAGACCACTCTCACTCCGACTAAACCCGGAACCGGTTTGGTCATCGCCGTTAAAAAGCTTAACCAAGAAGGTTTTCAAGGTCACCGTGAATGGCTGGTACAGTGTTTTCATTTCCTCAAACTTTGAGTTATATATGTGAATGTGTGTGTCTGATCTGTTGTAGTGTTGTGTTTTGTTGTAATTCAGACAGAGATCAATTACTTGGGGCAATTGAGTCACCCAAATCTAGTCAAACTAATCGGGTATTGCTTAGAGGATGAACACCGTCTTCTTGTCTACGAGTTTATGCAAAAAGGAAGTCTTGAGAATCATCTATTCAGAAGTGAGTCCTATGGATCATCTTATCTTTGATCAAAATCTATGTTCTTTTGTTTTTGGTTCTGATGGAAATGGTTTTGGGATGCAGGAGGTGCATATTTTAAGCCACTCCCATGGTTTCTACGGATCAAGGTTGCGCTTGATGCAGCAAAGGGGCTTGCTTTTCTTCACAGCGATCCCGTCAAAGTGATATACCGTGACATTAAAGCCTCGAACATCTTACTTGATGCGGTATGTAGAGAAATACATATTCAAAGAATTAGTACTTTACTGATGACTTTGTTTCCCTTAAACAGGACTACAACGCAAAACTTTCTGACTTTGGACTAGCTAGGGACGGTCCAATGGGTGATTTGAGCTATGTTAGTACAAGGGTCATGGGTACATATGGCTACGCCGCACCTGAGTACATGTCATCAGGTAAAAATCTATCACCTCAAATATGAATTGTGACTAGTTTGATCAAATATTTTAGAGCATAAGGATAATTGTTTAAATCCTTGTATCATTTCAGGTCACTTGAATGCAAGAAGCGATGTGTACAGTTTCGGAGTATTGCTTCTAGAGATTTTATCAGGTAAGCGAGCGTTGGATCATAACAGGCCGGCTAAAGAAGAAAACCTTGTGGATTGGGCTCGACCATACCTCACAAGCAAACGCAAGGTTCTCCTAATCGTGGACACTCGGCTAGACACACAGTACCTACCTGAAGAAGCCGTGAGAGTGGCCAGCATTGCTGTGCAATGTCTCTCATTCGAACCCAAGTCGCGCCCGACCATGGACCAAGTGGTCCGTGCCTTGCAACAACTTCAGGACAACTTGGGAAAACCGAGTCAGATCAATCCGGTTAAGGATACCAAGAAACTTGGTTTTAAAACTGGTACTAAGTCATCCGAAAAACGGTTTACACAAAAACCTTTTGGCAGGCACCTTGTGTAGGCTTTTTAGATTCGGAAAATCGGTCAAGCTGGTAATTGAGTTCCGGGATGGACATTTTTCCGGCGAGTACTTGAAACTGCGGAGATCCGTTTTCCACGGATTGTTCAGGACAAACCGTGCAGGTCGAGACTGATAATGGATACATTAAGTTTTCCGGTTACATGTCCCATACCCACAACCTTAGAGAACATGTTTAGCCTTTAGGTTAGGCTTCCTTGTGTGCTGTTATATCGAGTGAAGTATATAACTGAGGTATTTTTTACCTCTTCTGTTGTAACACTCTTGTATTTTTGTTCCTTTAACATTTGATGTAGAGATTTTCCTATATCTTCAGTTTTGAAATCCAAATTTGTTACAAGTAAAAATACTAATCAATGTGCAATGACCAACACAAATCCAAATTGTGTTTTGTTGGCTTCTGTAATTTACACAACAGATCACGTATACAAAATTTCTAGCAGCTTAATCTTAAAAAATTGATAAAATTTGAAATGTCATTTGAACTCCAACCTTTAGTATTGAAGCAAATGAAAACCTTATGAAACTACAATAGCATTAAACGACAAAAGGAAAGCAAAACGCAATCGTTTCACGATTTTGGTCTAGTTTGGTCCAAATAGCATTAAACCACAAAGGGAAAGCAAAACGCAACCGTTACACGATTTTGGTCTAGTTTGGTCCCAATATTACAATTACGGTTTAGTGAAATGCGTGCCGGTTCTTGCTTCTGCATTCGAACTGTGTGACGTTTATTTCACTTATCCACTTAGTGAGCGAAACTACTCGACTCGTAGAGTTGCAGAGAGGTTTTAGCCGCAGAAGAAAAGGGTTTACTCTTGTCTTCTCAGTGATCGAAGCTATGATGACGACAACAACCAATACTATGGCTATGCTTCAAAACCTCGTCTTTTCTGTTCCCATCTCTCGTATGGTAGTTCGGCGTCACTCCCTCGCCATTGCCGCTGCCGCCACAACCGTCGTACCGTCTCCGAAACCAGCCTCTGCCAAACCGGCGCGTACTCCACACGTGGACTCACATGTTCTCATCGGAATGTCAGAGCCTGAGCTTCAACAGCTCGCTATCAACCTTGGTCAAGTAAAGATCTGATTTTTGCAAATTAAGAGTTGAAAATAAGGAATTTGGGTGATTTAGCTGATAAAGTTCTGATTTTTCAGGAAGGGTACAGAGGAAAGCAGCTCCATCATCTAATTTACAAGAGGAAGGTTAATAAAGTTGAAGACTTTAGCAACTGTGAGTAAATTCTTACCAAGTTCTATGTTTTTTGAATATTTCGTCTTCCTTGACAGTTTTGCAAATGATTAACCAATTTTCATGATGCTTAAAGTGCCACAGACGTTTCGTAAAGAACTTGTGGAAGGTGGATTTAAAGTGGGAAGATCACCCATTTACCAAACTGTTACTGCCACTGATGGTACCATTAAGGTAACTTTGGCAATGTTGAGATTTCTCTCTGAAGTTTAGTTTGATCTAGTGTTTAAGGTTTCTAATGTTTTGTCTTTTGTTGTTTTTATCTTATAGCTTCTGCTAAAGCTTGAAGATAACCTGTTGATTGAAACTGTTGGTATACCGGTTCAAGATGATGAGAAGGGCATAACGCGCCTCACTGCTTGTGTCTCTTCCCAGGTAAATTGACTTCTTATTGTTAGAGATTTGTTTTTTTTGCTTTGCATGATTGAGTTTTATAGCTGATGTTTTGAAGTTCTGCTTTAGGTTGGATGTCCGTTGCGTTGCTCGTTCTGTGCCACTGGAAAAGGAGGGTTTTCAAGAAATCTTCAGCGACATGAAATTATTGAGCAGGTTTACTTCTATATTACCTCTTGTTTTCTGCATCTTATGGATTAGGTAAAATGAAATCTGTTAGAAGGAAGATTCTTATGGAATGATAATGAAAAAGAGAGCATGATACAGATTTATGAATTGGTGTTTTGGTCCAAGATGAAACACTTAGGATAAGATCTTATGTAGATTGTAGAATATCATTTGCAGAAGATTATCATTGTACCATATTTTGTTTTTACATCATAGAGATTAGAGACGCTTAAGTATTTAGAAACATGTTAAGATCCGGAAGAAGAATTTCATAGTTAAATGTAAATATGGCTTGTGTTTACAGTGTAATTTTAAATGTCTAGGTACTGGCTATTGAGGACGTGTTCAAGCATAGAGTGACAAATGTGGTTTTCATGGGAATGGGTGAGCCGATGTTGAACCTAAAGTCAGTACTTGATGCTCATCGTTGTTTGAACAAGGTAATATCTGCCATTAGTCAACTGCCATTTCGACATGGTTCTTGTAGAAATGAATGAAGTTCTTGCTAAGTATCTATGCACTGTAAAGTAATTGGCAAGCCGAGACAAAGACTTGACTATTAAAAATCATGTTTGAAGCATTAATACTTAATAAGATGTTCAAATATATGATTTATTTTTCTGCACAAATATTAGTTGCATAATGTTAAAACTATAAGGCTTAGGACTCACTCATGGTATGCTTTTCCTTTACTCAGGACATTGAAATCGGACAACGAATGATTACAATATCAACAGTAGGTGTTCCGAACACAATCAAGAAGCTTGCCTCTCATAAGCTGCAGTCAACCTTAGCTGTCAGGTGCGTCCTCACTCCTCACTTTCTGGTTTTATTCATGTGTTGTTCAATAAGTAAAATGTATCTTTTATACAAATTTCTTTTGAGTAATTTTACTTTACTCAGCTTTCTTAGGTCAAGATACCCCAAGCATATCATGAAATCTTATTTTCTAAGCATGTAACATATGCTGGATCGGTCTTTTCTCATTGATTTTCATTTTTTTATATGATTTACTCATTCTTGAGCTGTTCTTTTGGTGAAATAGCTTACATGCGCCAAATCAGAGTCTCAGGGAGAAAATTGTACCAAGTGCCAAGGCTTATCCGCTGGAAGCAATTATGAAGGATTGTCGTGATTACTTCCAAGAAACAAATAGACGAGTCTCCTTCGAATATGCCCTTCTAGGTGTGTGAGACTTGAGATAAACAAATTTTTTGTTCGTCTCTCTCATTTTATCATCTACTTTAACATAAGTTCACAATGATGATGTAGCTGGAGTCAATGATCAAGTTGAGCATGCGGTGGAACTTGCAGAGCTACTCCGTGAATGGGGTAAAACTTATCACGTAAATTTGATACCTTACAACCCGATAGAAGGATCAGAGTACAAGCGACCTTACAAGAAAGCGGTATGTTAATAACCATTAAGCACAGGCACTCTGTTTTGGGTTTAGTTTTGGTCTATAAACTTCAATAAAAATACAAATAAGTCAGTCCCTAATCACTTTTATTAACCAATTGTGCAGGTCCTGGCGTTTGCATCTGCGTTGGAATCGCGTAAGATAACAGCAAGCGTAAGACAAACAAGAGGACTTGATGCGAGTGCTGCTTGTGGTCAGCTGAGGAATAAGTTTCAGAAAAGCCCTTTAGTTACTGAGACGGATGGTCAAGAGTCTCAGCCAGCTGCAGAAGCTGTCTCGTGTTAATTTCCTTGATTGCACAAATCTCCGGTTTTGCCATTGGATCGCTCTGTACAACTTTGTTTTGGAGAGGAGACATGGCTCAATGACGAAAAGTGAAAATTGCCGTTAGGGTTGGTTGGTCAGTGTGCAACCGAGGATGAAGAGATTGAAGCACGTTTGAGAAGTGAGTACTTTGACGATAGCTTTATAGGTTTGGCCTATACTTATGTGATGATATACTTTGGTTTATAACTATGACAAGGGAACTAACTTAAAGTGTTGTTATTCAGTGAATGATATTAACAGATATCAAATCCATAAATTTCAGATAGCTTTCACACAAATTTTGAAATATAGTTCAAAAGGCCTACTGGATTTATCATTTTTCCCTTAAAACACGTGTTCTATTTTCATCTCTTTGAGTCAAATTTATTTGATGGTCTATACAATTGTATACTTTTAATAGACAAGGAAGCTTCAAAAATCTGTGAATGATTCCTTAGAAGCTTACGAATGAGTAGAGGAAACCTTGCATAATTGATTGAAACGTGAAAACCGAAGTAATGTATAAACATAAATTTGCTTTCACTATGAAACTGATTTCAACCTTTATACATAAACACATAAAATTACAAAGTGAAAAAGAAAACTAAATTACAAAGTGGATGGTGTATGTATAATTGGCTAATCTTCGTAACAAGTGGGAGAAGCCTCGCAAAACATCATCTTCTACTCTTTTTGCATATCCTCGAATATGTTTTGGTTCCGAAAACCAATTCTTGAAATTGCTGATACATATTACTTTCAATACTCGTAAATAAGAAGACTAAAGAAAGTAATTGTATCAGCAACTATTTTTTAGATGACTAGAAAATCACATTTAGTAGAGCACATGCAACACAATATGCATTGATTTCTTTTGCATATCCTGGAATATGTCCAATGCCTTTTCTAGTTCATCCATTACCACAAAGACCATTCCCGATATTTACCATTTTTTTACATTTGTAAAAACTCATGATTAGCTATGTTGGACTTAGAATAATTTTCTACCATCCGATCAACCATAGCTATTCAAATAATCTGGTGAATGGTTAAATATCAGTGGTGAATGGTTAAATACCAATCAATGGCCCATTCGCTTGTAGAGAAAAATCACAATAAAAGAGATCTCCGTATTCCAATGAAACCAAATACATAGAGGACGGGACGGGATGAAACTGACACATGGCTGGTGAAAAATGGACCGCAACATCAAACACAAGATCATGAACCTAACTTCTCTCAAACGGTATCCCAATCTAGCTCTAGACAACGCTATGCTTGCTACACAAAAGAAGGAAGAAAGTACCTTTCTATAAGACAAGACCATGACTCGATCTAACGGCGGAACCTGATCTAAGAACCCATCTCAACTTTTGTGTTAAGATGGAGTTACCGATCGTACATGCAGAGCTTGACGGCGCTCGTGTTTATTTTTTTGGTATTTGACGACAGGCTTAGCCGTTTTAGGTTTAGGTTTGTGAGGTTGATAATGAGTGACCTGGGTATATATATATATAGTCGAAAGGCCCCCTATTTGACCTTTTTTATTAGGTAAAGAGTACAAAGCCTTTTTCAGTCAAAATTGATGTACATGGTGGTAATATTATTAAAGTTGAATATATCTTGTCAAATTATTTAAACTCTGTATTTTTATAATTGGAAAAGAAATAAAGAATTTATTGCTTTTGACACTTTTAGAAAAAAATATTTGAACTTTGAATGTATGTAAAATACAATACTTTTTAGTAAAGAATATATTTATGTTTATATGAAAAAAGTATTCAATTTAGAGTACAATAGTATTTTAGTAAAGATATAACAAAAAAGGAAACAAATTGAAGTTATTTTATAAAAATATTCCTTGTTTGAATACTTTTCCCCCTTCTTCTCAATTGACTTTAATTATATTTTTACAAAACATTCAATTCAATTTTCTTCTTAATCGAGGAGAGAATCCAAACATTTCACTTTACATATAGGGTATATTTCATTATATTTAGAATATTTTGTATGATATATGTATGTATATTTATATGTGTCTAGTGTTACACTTAGCTACATAAGACCATACACATTGCAACACTCGACCAGCGGGTGTATGTAATTAAAGAAAAGGTAAAAATAATGCAAAAGTTAAAGAGAGAGAGACAATAGAGAGGTAGAGACGGGAATTTTTTTTCTCTTTTTAATGTTTCATACCCGGGTGTACTGCTACACTCGAGTCTCAACTTTTTTTTCACTTTTTGTATTTGTTTTGAGTTTTTTTAATACATACACTCGGCCAAAGGGTTCGCCGTTATGTATGCCCTAACTGTTTTAAGTGAATCGGTTGATTGTTCTCTGTCAATAGCATCAAAGCACTCCAAAAAAACAAGTATCATATTCATGTTAATAAATCTAGATATTGAAATTTTAACTGAATGTTCTAACCTGGGAAATAAAGGATCTAGTGTTGAGGAAAAATATGATGCTTTCCTAGTTGGGTGAAACATGTATAGTAAAGTTCGGTCTTTATCTGCTGGATAATGGACCTGTGGTTACACTGAAGATCCTAATCATTTTAGTCCTTGTCATTTACTCCATCGCTTCATATGCATTCTATGACTTTTACATAGTCATTCTTGCCTCCTCCATGCTAGGATTAAATATTCGTCTTAACTAGATCCATTGTTTTTTCTATAAACGAAACTCTGTTTCTATTAAAAGCATTAGACATTCAAAATGTTAGTCATTAATGGGCCAGTGGCTAAGCAGCCCAATACACATCAAGAGGAGAACCATTTTTGAATCAGAAATAGCCCAACAATTGCTGTATCAGAAATAGCCCAACTTTTACTAGATCCATTGTTTGTTTTATTGAGTTTTTACTTGGGTTAGTAGGATCCTAAGACCATGTACATAGGAGAACTTTTAAGAGTATCATAAGCCAATTTATTATTTTTAAATAGACCAAACATGTTTTATGGGTCTGATCCGTATCATCCCAGTGAAACTCATGATACTGGGTATCATGTGACTTGGCAGGGCGTGATTGGTCGCAGAAAATTTTTTTGCCGACAGAAGAGAAAAAAAAAAATCATTTACTCTCTCTCGATTTTTTCTCTCCTCTCTCACGGCAATTTGCCGATTTCTTCTCAGCTCCGGCCGGTACGACGTAGATCTGTCGCCGTGGAGAATCGCAGTACCAAACCAATCTCCCTGTGAGCGACGGAGCTGCTTCGGTTAGGAATAACAGAGGAGGAAGAAGCAGTTGTTGTTGCTGCGATTGGATCTCTAGTTACTTTAGTCTCAGTTTCATTCATGGAGGACAATTTGCTGCAGCTTGAGAACGATATCACCGATGAAATAAGCTTTTCCATGACCAAAGTAAGGCATCCTTATCTCACTCGCAAAAAATTCCATTGTTTCTATGTTGAGAATTCTGTAACGTTTGTTTCTTTTCTTGAGCCAGGTCTTGTTGTTCTCGTGTCTGGAACCACTTATAGACATTGCAGAACATCAAGCTTGTGCTTAACGATGATGGACTGAACTTCAAGCTTCTCCATCGTCCACGGTAATGTTCTGTTCTTTCATCCGAGAAAAATATGAAGGGACGTCGTGTTATAGCTTGAGAAATACAAGGTTGTTGGTTTAGATTCATAGGATTGGAATCAAGAAATAGATTTGTTTGATTGGGTTTGATAAGAATGGGTTTATGGCTGCAAAGTTTCTTGGTTTTGCTGAGCGCACACAAGGTGTTTGATAAATTGCCAAAGAGAAAAACGGATTGGGTTTATGCAAATTTTAGTTGGCTGATGGATGAGAATCAAATAGTGAGTAGGTTTTAAGGAGTTGTGGAAGATATTCTTCGTCACCATGAGACAAATTAGAGGAGTTAAGTGGGTAAAGAAACCCGGATTTTTTTTTACATCTAGTCAGGTATATATGTGTAATTTCGCTATAGGTTTTGTTTTGAAAATGAATCTTTTAGACTTGAAACGCTTTCTCAAGCTTATGACTTGTGGATATAGGGAGAGGAACTGAGAAAGCAAATTGGTGCAGCTGCTTATATCGAGTGCAGTTCCAAGACTCAACAAGTAAGTTCCCTGACTCAAGAAGTAATGTTTTGGTGAGAATGTTAGAATCTTATGATGACTTTACTTTGGTTATGTTGTAGAGAGAAACATGTAAGATCTTCCTTTTATTTTCCACTTTCTCCATTTTCATGCACCACATGGATATAACCAGTTTGAAATGCAAACGAGTGATTTCTTGTATGAGCTTATCCAAAAGACTAGAACATGTTCATATTTTAGCTCATCTCTTATTTTCTGAATGTACTAAAGTATGCTAACCCTCTCCTTTTTTCCCAGATTCCATGGCCTAAGCCTCCTACAAAGTGGGACGACTTCTGTGTTCTATAGTTTGAATGTACTAATGTTTATTTGGTTTGAAATTGTTCTTGGTTCTGTTTCTTAGGTATACTGATCAGTTTATACTTTATTTTTGAAAGGAAACCAAGTTTTTTTGGATTGTAATATTACATTTTCTAATCTTATGTTTTTATATATTTATTTTTGATTTTGCAAATAATTTTTTTTTTTTATGATACTTAAACCAGTTTCACCAATGTAAACAAATTTATCAACAGTATCATAAAAAATCTCAAACAATAAACAAACATTAAAATTAATACTAAAAAAATGTTAATGATACTCATAGAGTATCAACTATGTGCATGCTCTAAATCCTTGGACTCGGTGGAACTAGTTTTTAAGTTCAACGATTCTGATTGGATTAAATTTTCGATGCAGTTCAAGTGTTTATTTGATTCCATTTCGTATGAAACTTTTCTCTGTGTTTGATTTTCAGTTTCAAATGTAACTAGATTAATATTTCTAGGAAAACACAAACTAAAGCCACACAAGTTAATACAATCGATATGTATAGCCTAGTGAGAACTGCAAGAATATCAGAAGTAGATAGCAACGAAACTGATTATTTGATTTGACAGTGAAAGGTATAAATAATGAACAAAATAACTTTTACTATTAATAATGAAACTACAAACAACAGAAGACTCGGCTAAAAGGTACAATGATCAAAGAAAATTACAAGCGAAGAAGTGATGTATAAATGATCTTATATATACCATCTTTAAATCCCCCATCTTCCTTCAATGTATTTGCTTCAAGTCTTCCAAAATCACAATGATGAATATCCTCAAACATTTCTCTTGTAATTTCTTCATCACACAACCATTTACCATTACTCTTTTTGCATATCCTCGAATATGTTTAGTACAACAAAAGATAATCAGGATCATATTACTCTTTTGGATAACCTCAAGAGTGTTCACTACCACAAAGATTATCAAGATCCATCTTACTCTTTTGCATATACTCGAATACCTATATAGGATTAATAACCTATGTTTCTACCATCCGATCAACAAGAGCTATAGCTTTTTTGACGTGGATAAGGCTGAAACATAGATGTATATCCCATTTCTACCATCTGTTCAACTCAAACTACCCTCTATAAATCTCCCCTTTGAGACAAAATCCATTGAACATAGTGTTTCAAGCAACACGAGTTCAAAAGCTAACCAAGTTTCATCATCTGGAAACTTGACTTTCTCAAATACATAGATTTCAAATAGTTTGAGTATCACCATTCGCTTGGAGAGAAAAATCACAAACCCATGTCGTTTCGACTTGAAAGGAGCAGTATGTATTCCATCGTATTATCATTAAACCAACTTGTCAATCCTAATCTCACTCCCAAACCCAACCTAGAGCTATAGAAGATGCTATGCTGGCTACTCAAAGGAAGGATTAGCTATAAAAGTACCTTTCAGTTTGACAAGATGGTGAATCAATCTAACAGCAGAATCTGAAAACCCATCAGTGTAGCAGCAGATTCGGACCTCTGAATCCAACACAACTGTTGTGTTTCACCAAAAGAGGCTCTTTTCTCGATCTTTTGTAAGGTTACAGATCGTAGTTGCAGAGCTTGGCGGCGCTTAACTTTATTTATCTTCTCTCTTTTTTTTTGACGTCACGCCTAGGTTTAGGTTTCTGAATAATGAGTGAGTTGGATTTTATATTGGTATCAGGACAAGATCCGATTACATTTTCATGTTTTGTCGCGTAACCTGTTTGAGTTGTTTACTAAAGAAGGCTGGGCCAAGATTAATTTCTCAAGTACGGCCCAACTTTGGTTATTTTTCTTAATTAAGGCTACTAAAACATATCAATATTTTCACTAAAAATAATATGAAGAAAATTTAGTTTTTAATGAAAATATTGAGGTTATTCTTCTGTAAAGCTTTGAGCAAAACTAACATTTGGTAACAATCAAAATCAAGAGGATATAACATTTGAGGTTTTATGTTTGTTTGCACCAATATATAACTGGTTAAGCTAATATCACTCGTTAAACACAAATCATTATGAGAAACAGATTGTCTCTACGGTGATGGGATTCACGTCATGGCCACCTCTAAAAAACTGTGTTTGTAATTATAATGCGACTCTACTCTTTTTGGGTTTTTCTTTATCTGAATCTGATCCGCCGTTATTCCGGCGAGTCTCATGTGACTTACATTATCCCTTCTTCTTAACAACTTCAAGTGACCAAAAACAAAAGTCAATAACTGTTTTAATAATCTTGTAACTACTCAATTCTCCGAACCGACCCTTTTAATGGCTCCCACGTTTCACTCTAGTCATTCTCTTTCTCTACTTAGACCCTGTTTCCTTCTTCTTCTGTTTCTCTGAAACTCATGAAATTTGAGGAACTACTCATGGAAGCTTCACAGCAACAAAGCAACAAGAGACATGACTTAGAGGAAGGAGTAAGCACCTTTGATCCTAACTCAAAATCTTTATACCAACAGTTACTTATATGAATATGAATGTTTGTGTTTATGTAGGTGATGCATCTTAAAGAGAGACTAGAGGAAGAAGAAGCAGTAAGTAGAACTTTACGAGCTGCTTTTGATGGCTCTATTGTTTCTCTCCCAAGTCTCTCCTCATTGTTTCTTCCACCTCAGGTAAAACTAATACTCATACCTCTAACTATATCTTAATGATCAAACAATTAACAAATTTTATTTCCTAACAGTTTTCCGAGCTTATACAAGAATTAGCCGTCGTGGAGGCAGAGATTCTTTGTCTAGACCGAAAAATCGAGGAGCTAAAGCTTAAACTGTATTACGAACAGAGACAAACGCAAGAGATGCAATTGACCGAACAGAAGAGGACATTGGCAAGACAGAGCCATGTGAGACAGAGTACTTTGCCACTAAGACATGATCTTCATCAACGATCTTTGTCTCATTGTTACCAACGTTCTACTCTAGACACCGCCTCAACAACTCATTCAAGGCTCTCATTTTCTTATGCTCCTGATTTCTTGGATACCACTTCTTCAGGTTGCTTCACAGGTAAAGTAGTTGCTTATTCCGAATGTTTTCCAATAAGCTGCACAATAAGTATACATGTCCCAAAACCGGGAAAAAAATACGAATGCTCACATTTCACTGATCAAGGTCATGGTTTTGGTGGACAGATGAATTTGATGCAGTATCGAGGATGCAGATGGGTAGAGTAAGAAAAGGGCTTCGACTTGTGGAAGCAAAAACAAAGGACGACCCAAACGAAGTATCTGAACAACTCATCAACTGTCTTATAGGCATTTACTTGGAGCTCAATCATGTTTCATCAAAGACCAAAGGGGATGTCTCGCTTTCGAGAAGGCCCTCTTCTTGTAGCCGGAAATCAAACACATATAGTTATTATCAAAATGCAATGAATCTTGATCCTTATCACGTATTGCAAGACTCAAGCGGAGGAGTCACCAGAGACATTGGCCCTTACAAGAACTTCATCCACATTTCAAGAAGTTCTATCGATGTGACCCGTTTCACCCATTATTGTTCACCGGCTGTTCCACGCTTGAGGTATTGTTCTTTTATATTCTGTGAATCCACCATACAAAATGATCTCATCAAATATTATAATTTATTGACGCTCTGTATGTTGGCAGTATTTTGATGGAGAAACTATCGGAGGTAGATTTGAGTTTTTTGACCTACAAGCAAAAACTCGCCTTCTGGATCAATATCTACAACGCATGTATCATGCATGTACGGCCACATTTACAAAATACATTATTGAGATTTTTAATAACATAACACACAAAACTTGGACTTAAAATCGAATTCTATGTTCCGATGATAGGCTTTTCTTGAGTATGGGTTACCATCATCACACAATAGACTACTTACCTTGATGAACAAGGTAACTTTTTTGATCAAAATCTCAAGAAAGAACTCTAAATGTTATAAATTGTAGAAACTTTTCAAATCTAATGATGCCCTTTGTAATTTATTGGCAGGCTTCACTCAACGTAGGTGGCATAGTCCTCAACGCTTTGGCGATTGAACATTTCGTCTTGCGGCATCCTTGTGAACCAGAACATGTAAGTGCATTCCATCTCAATTCATACCTATAAATAGAATCAATTGCCAAAAGAAGTTAATCAACATCTTCATGCAAGAAGGACTCCCTTGACGAGAAAGAAACTCTCCTGCGACATACTTATGGTTTAGGATATTCAGAGCCCAACGTGACATTTGCGCTTTGTCGCGGAAGTTGGTCTTCACCAGCAGTAAGTGTTCAAACATAGTTGATCTTTTACACGATTTCTTACTCAAATATATATGAATAAATGAGAGTATTATTTTCATGTGCAGCTTAGAGTTTATACAGCAGAGGAAGTGGTGAATGATTTAGGAAGAGCAAGAGTGGAATATCTAGAAGCTTCCGTGGGTGTTTCTAGCAAGAAAAAGATTGTGGTTCCACAGCTTCTGCAATGGCACATGAAAGATTTTGCAGATGATATTGAATCCCTTTTGGAATGGATCTATAGTCATTTGCCTCGATCAGGCAACCTAAAGGGCATGATTATGGAATGTCTAAAGAGAAAAGCAAAAGTTCCTTTAGCTAAAATGGTAGAGATTCAAACATATGGACACGAATTTCGTTACTTGTTGTCATTATAAACATGAGAGGTCCTTATCTAGAATAGAATAACAATGTTTGGTAACTTCTCTCACGGATGTACACATTCTCGTTTATTTGCAATGTACAACAAATATAATATAGTTTCGTATGAACACTTTGACAAAAGAAACGAGACAAAATTAATATTCGAGAATCCGAAATGTTTGAATAACAGCAGCGAAATTTACTCAGATGCTTTTTTCATCAAATAAATCAAACCCTTGTAAAGTTGAGTCATATAAATTATTTAAAATATATAATGGAAATGAGTATATACTTTAGCTAAATTTGTAAGTGGACAAGACATAGACATGTTCCGTTCATATCACCAAAAAGGAAAAATGAATTAGACGACTTGTGGACTTATGGTTACGTATTGCATCAAATGCTGTCGGGAAATACTTTTATTTACTTCTTAATTTCATCGGTCAAAATCAATCCCACTTATTAAAGGCTTTTCATAGACCAATAGCCATTGAATTATTCTTGTTTCTCGTTCTACTACACTACCAAATCTAAGTGGGATCCCCGTGGATCTAACACTAACGTGCATCAACTATTTGGTAATGGCTAGTTAGAAATAAACCACAAGATTAGTAGTAGTAGTAGTACTGTATAAACTATTAAGTATCAATAACACAACCATGTTTAAGATTACACGAGATTAAACGTTACAAGTTGTAACTTAGAACCAAACATGTAAAATACTTTAATAGCTGCGGGCTGTTACAAAATTTTCTCACAGCCTCTTCAGCTACTCACTTTCTCTTTCTCTCCCCCCATTTCCCTTGTATCACTCACAATTACAACACCAAACCCAAAAAAAAGAACATTAAAAAAAAAAGTGAAAACACACACAAAAGTCAAAGATACTTTCCCCTGATTTTTCTCTCCTTCCCATATATAAAATTTAGAAAAAAAAGGAGGAATAGCGAAATTAGCGGAGAGTTTTCTTTTGTCTCGAACCACTTTAATTTTTCGATTTCCTCCAAATTTTTGCTTCTCGAAACTCGCCTTAAACCCTGAAATTCTTCCCGACAAAGGTTTGACCAAACTGCCAGTTAGAAGGAACCATGTTCCAGGAAGTAGATGTTCTACGGTCACTGCCTGTGACGCGGAAAGAAAGTGACTGACCAACCAAAACAGCATTAGATTGCCAGTTTTGTCCCCAGTTCCTGCTCAAACTCATCCAACCAGTCCGTGAACCTTTCACACTTGCCCTCACGATGTCTCCTGCTCCAGCCACGTTAGTGATCAGAACCAAGTTGAAGTAACGGTGACCGTTGATTGTGAACCTTATCCCTCCTCTCTTCCTACAAGGCACTCTACAAACAAAACCAACATTTCACACTCGTTTAGTCACTCACTTAGATATCAAATGTAATGATTAATTTGTTCATTAGAGACAGCAAATAAACTAAAATTTAGGAAAATATCATCAAAATTTGATTTTCAAGGACTTAAAACTAAGAATGTTCAACTATTAGTTTAAATTTTTTAATAGCAACTAAAAAGTATCATTTAATTAAGCTAAAAGGTAAAATAGAGAACAAAATGACCTCCACTAATTGTTTTTAGCCGTTTTATCTAAATTTGTTTTAAAGACAATTATGGTCTTATGATCTTCTAAATATTGCCAAGACCCTAGACATAGATTTGTACCTGCGGTATGAGACGGGGACAATGCCCGCACGATATTGAGCGATCTTGAGGAAGACAGGCATGGCTAGATCGAAATGTTCACGTGGCGGGTTGCACCATCCTCCGTTGTCGCTAGGCTGAGCCAAGTTTGGTGGGCAGAAATTGGTTGCGGTGATGAGGATCGAAGGACTACCTGAGTGGCACCATTGAGGGTCATTGGCGCATTTTAGCTCAAAGCAGGCTCCACAACTCATACCATTGTTAAACAGCGCCGTGCTCAAAGCTGCCGTGTTGGTACCATAGCCTTGGCTGTATAGGTTACCGTAACCACAAGCTCCTCCTGTAATTAGTTAAACCCATTTTGTTAATAATTTTTTTAAAGAAAACTTTACTAATAAAGTATTTATGCTCTGTTTTTATGGACTGACCCATTGTGCCGGAGGCGTCGCTGCCACCGTAAAAAGTGGCGTGTGCGTTTTGCCATGCGCTGCCGGAGTAGACGCCGGGAATTCTAGCGTCGGCGAGGCTAAAAAGGACAAATGTGGTAAAGAGAATTGCTAGTTTAATAGCCATTTTGAGTGTAATTTACTAAAAAGGAGAGTTCTAAAATTACTATGAGGATGATTCTTAAGGAGAAAATGAAGAAAGAACAAGAGCGCTTTCGAGGTTGCGCTCTTGTATAGAGAAAGAGTTAGGTTTGTTTGGAGATGAGAATGGTGGAGGAAGAAGGAGTGAGGTTCGGTATTTATGGAGGGAAGGAAACTCCAAAGTTAGAGAGTAAGAGAGAGATTGAGAGATAATTGGCTAAGTTCTAATTTCCTTTTGTCAAAATAAACTTTTAAAATAAGATTACTATTTCTACGTAAGGTGGAGGTAGGTTTGTAACCGTTTTGTCATTTTTTTTTAATGTAATCTAAATTTTTTCTAGATGATATAAACTTACAAATATTTTATCTCATTAATCTAAAATTATGTATGACTTAGAAACTTGATGCTAAAAAAAGTTCGACAAAGAATAACGAGTTGACTTATTTGAGGCGTTTCATACTTAGGCTGAGAGTTGATATTAGTTTATTTTATGCAGATATAAATTATGTTTGTTTTGCTGACCAAATAAAATGCAAACATATATATATATATATATATATAAGCCTTAAATATGTCTTTTGACTCTGCTCGTTTTTATATAACTTCTTTCCTTGCGCGGGTACTCTAGTTCAGCCTTTAAGGTGAATTGTCTTCTGCAAATACCATGAATCTGCATTCAGATTCTCTCTTCTTTTCAAAAGTCATATTTCTAAAGTAAAAAAATAATTGAGGGAAAAAAAAGTAAAAAAAAAATTATACAGAAAAACTAGTACATTTCTATCAGAAATATGGGTTCATGAGTAAGTGATGTCATATATAATAAGAAAATGTGTATACAAATTTCAAACAATGCCCAAGTGTGTTTAGCTCAAATGTTATTCAGTGCTATCCACTCCAAGTTTAAAATTTAAAATTTGGAGAGGGATCGTTTACACTTTATAAATCCGCCGAAAATGAAATCTGGTCTACGATAGTGAGATATAAGAAAACAACAACAGAGCAATTATCCAAAAATATAGGAGTATGAGAATATGCAATAATAAGTGTTGAGTTTTATTGGTTAATTTTTTTCAAAAAGAAAAAAAACAAGTGTGGTCTATTATTACTAATCGGGTTAAGTGAAAGGGAGAAGAAATTTGGTTTGCTTGAAAAAACAAGTTGTAGCATCAATCACGAATCACGAATCACGAACGGAATTTGCTAAGCTCAACAGTATCGCCATCATTACTTTTTAACCTTTTTTTTGGTCCTAAACCCTTTTTTAAATTTTCATGCATGCCATTGCCATTTGCCACTACTTTTACATCTTTAATTTTTCCAAAAACTCAATACTAACCTCAGTTATTAATCATTAGTATATATGATAAGTAGTTGCATTTTATAGATTTATGTTTTGATTCAAAAATGTTTTTACCGATTGCCGCCCATTTATTTACCCCCTAAATTTCAAGAGATTTCATTTTAGGATGTAGAGAAAAGACTCCCACTTACAACAAAGAAGAAAGTGATTTTTTTAATTAGAAACAAGTTTCAAAGAAAGAAAAGCAAAAAAAAAATGAGGACCCATATTGCCGCATTCATCGGACCACGTATTGCGCCGTGCATTAGCCGTACGTAAAGTGATATACCCGACCCGAACCGATATCTCTCGGACCTATCCGGTCAATGTTTTATGTCACGAAACTGTCAAAGATTTACATTTAAAGAGAAAGCTTTCGCCAATTCTTAGTTCTCACGTGACAAAGGTCAAAGCTTCATATCTCCCTCCACTCCACTATTCAACATTTCTTTACTTAGCCATATGATAAAAGTATTATTAAGATGGATCCAAGAATTTAAACATCCAATAAAATATTGGACTCCAGATAGACATAATTGTCGATAATTTGAATGCCACGAGTGTTATATAAATAGAATTTGTGATTATATTATTTTACTAATTCAAATTCTCATAACTAGTTTTGTGTGTGTTGTATTATAAACATAACTAGTTAGTTTGAAAACTTAAGAAGTAATGGACGACTTTAGCGTTTCTATTTATATCACATTCCACTCCATTTATAATTAAGTCACATCTCTAAACTACTAGTGATTAGTTTTTGTAATTTAGCTACATGATCATATTTCTTTTTTCTTCTTGTTGAAAAAAAGAACAAGCACACTAAGTCACTTTAATCTTTATGCATCGGCGCGCCACCATCATCAAAAACATCAAAACCTATTAACATTAGAGCATCATAAGTGTCAACTTAATATCGTTAGTTTACCTAATAACAATAATAAATGTCTTAATCGTAAAATTTAGAAAATGAAAATAAAAGCGGTCAAAATTTTTTTTGAAAATAACAATTTAAAGAAGTGATAATATTATAATTGAGAAAAGAGGGAAAGAAAAACAGTTAAAGAGGCGGTGAACGTGAGAAGAGGTTGTGTCGAGGATGGCGATGACAAGGCATATCTATGCACCAACCAGATCTTCTTGTATCTGCCACGTCATCCCAATCTGTGCCAGCTTCTCACATCTGTTTTTCTGTCTGATTTTCTTAGATTGAATTTCTAGATGATTTTTTGGTTACCGACGTTATTTAATTCTTCTCTTCCTCTAGATGATACGTGGATATATGAATATATCACGTATATAGGAGAAATGATGTAAAATGTGTTCATCTCAACTTCAACCAAAAATATTTCTATTTTTAGATTTAATTTTTGCAACCCCAAATTAATCACAAAAAATATAATGTGTCTATTAAAGTAAGTTTTATTTTGGCCATATATTTATATTATATACGAAAATATAATGTGTCTATTAAATGTTGTAAGTTTTCTTTTGGCCATATAAATATTTGCCGAACTCATCCCGGCAACGTGTTAGTAAAAATACAATATTCAGTATTATTGTTACAATTTATTGTTTATATGTACATCCAAAATACACATGCACGCATAGAAGCCTTTATCAATATGAGAACACAAATGCTCTTGCATGTGAATTAAGTATCTACCACTCCTCTCCCAACAAATTCACGTCTTTACATTAATTTCGTGTCAGCATATAACATTTATAATATTCAGTATTTTTTTTTTTTTTCATAAAGAGCAATTCCGACTCAAACCTGGCTAATCTTTCAAATGGTTTGGGATACCTCCGGTTAACAAAAAAAAATACCAAATGATGGTCTTGCTTAATAATACCAAATAATATGAGCAGGGGATAGTGTGAATGTTCATTGACAAGCTTATATAATACTTAGGCGTAAAACATAAGTACGTGTAGATTGCTAATTGAGCTACATTCAAGCAACACATTAAATCATTACCAAATTCTTTTATTAGTGAAAGTATAATTACATCGTGCATCTAGTTTATAAATTCTTATACAGATAATATAATATATTTACATAATAATTCCGTCAGTGAACAACATACCATTTGAAAACCTCAATGAGAATGAAAATTTCTATATGCCCCGCCGATCATTTGAGTGAGCAATCATCTATTGTTTGTTGTTTACAGTCAATAACATGTATGTAAGAGTAAAGAGTAAAACCTACTCATCAAGTTTAGAAATTGAGAACAATTGGATCCATCAATCTTATACGAGAGGGTGGGGTCATGAATCATGAGTTGATATAAGTGGGAGAAAGAGAATTTGTATGCCAAAAAAAGTTAATTGAGACCACACATGCTATGTCCACAACCACATTGTAAGAAAGATTCCCCTCGAAACCTAGCAATAAAAACAAGGAGATCTACAGTTATTTTTTTCAAAAAACTCAGTACACAAATAAATAAGTTAAATCAATATTTTCTGTTGACAGCATCTTTACTATAATAGAAAACATCGTTAAAATTTTAAATGTATTATAGTTTGCACTATTTATTAAGGTTGAGAGCATGTATAATCTTTATATCAGTTATTTTCGATACTAATTAAATAAAATAAACGCTACATCATATTTTCCAGTGGAATTTTTGGGCAAGCTATGGTGACATATTGGGGGTCTGTGTCTGAAAAAAGAAGTGGATTCCTTTGAAACCACCTCATGAGGTCATTAGAAAGAAAGAAAAAGAAGAAGAAGCAAAACATGTCATGTAGAGATTGGTGATATCAAAAGAAGAAGATCTCATGACTACATATGTTAAAAGGGTTTGAAAGATTTCATGATGTTACGTTCGAAGAGGATATGATGACGATATGCAACGCGAGGAGTTTTGTCGCTTCATGGTTGCTTTAGCATGGTTTATTGTTCTGTCATATATTTGAAAAAATTTCTAACAAGTTGATAAGAGTGAGTTCTGCACCGACACTCATAAGGATAGACAAATGGTGGTTTAATAAAAATATACAAGTGTTTATTCAACAACGAATTTGGATTAATACTTATGAGTCTTGATTATTATAGTACTTAGTTGATTTATAGGGCTACGAGTGATATAAAAACTTGTATGGTACCAACTTAGTGTTGGGCTAGTAGTGAGAGTTAGGTCCTTCCAAAAAAGTGTGTAGTCTGGTCTTCTTGATTTGATTTTCGATCGAAAAGAGTTGTTTAGTTCACACAGAAATGTAAGGACTTCGGCTATAATTTGTTTTATTAATTATGTAAAGTATGTTAAAATTAAATAACTAAAATTTTATGGTTTTTGCTACTACTACAGAATATAGATAAATCATGAAATTAGTTGATTATATAGTATAATTTCATGAAATACAATTTTTAATGGACCATCTTTTAAAAAATATCATCAAAGTATATAGTCGCATGCCATAATATCAAAAAAGAAGAAGATTGCTTAATATCCTTAATGAACACTAAGTTATAAATAGATAGGATTTTTATTATATTCGACGTCGATAAAGATTGGGTATTCTTTTACAAGAAAATGAAAGCTAATGTCGACAATTTGTATCTGAGTTAGTAGTAGTTTTGATAATAAACATGGAGTGATTATATTTTTACAAACTATGCCGAAATTTTGGGTACTTTTACAAATCTCCCAATAAGATATACGTAATTTGAAATTGATCAACGCACTAGTATAGTTTCCATCGCGCATGCCATAGCTAATTTGAGGCTCTATTAAGATAAAAAGCAAATGTTCGATAGCGTAATCAATCATTTAATAAAATCCCTTAATTTAAGGTTAAGGGATTGGACCAAAAAGGACCATTGCTAAATTTGTGTCTCCCATTTACATGCATCGATGTCTCGCACTCATACTGATTAGGCTTTACGCAACACTCTCTTTTTGCCAAAGATTAGATCCCAAGTTTTGTCACGCAA